TTGGAGACAATGCGAGATGATAGAGCTAAAGACTGCTGGTGTGAGATGGCATTATGACTGCTCTGTTGACGAATAGACGATGATGTTGATGTGCCGGCCAAAACTGCGGAAGTGGGACGCGACGATGAATATGCCATGACACCTGTGAGATCAGCGCAGTTTGTGGTTTGTACAAGCCAAGTGTGTCGATTCCCAAAGAGAAAGAAAAGAAGAAGAGATAGATACTGTCTAAATGCTCTGATTATTGAAAATCCAGTTGAGGGGCCCAAGAGAGTAAAGCAACAAAGCCTGTACAAATGGCTAAGATAAGCCTAGTTTTGCTTGTGCCTTCCCTAGTCCCCACTCTACTAGGCCCTATGTGGACAAACATCAACAATGGAACTTCGCCCACACTACCGCCAACTATGAACCGGTCCTGTTTACATTTAGCATCCGCTCCGTGGTAGAGCATACATATTATGCCCATTCCGCCTCAGGGCCTGACAGAGTTATAAACAAACCGAGACTTAATTATCTGACGCTGTCTACAACCTTTCAGCTATCCTTCTCTCCTCAGGTCTACGTCGCCAGTAACTGAAGAGGAGGCATTCCATTTGGCATGAACTTTCAGTAACATGGCTCGATTGAATGAATCAACAGCTCCGACAGAGCCCATTGATATCTGTAAGCTGCTCTCACTCTCCTATCCCTATTATCCAGCTTCCTCTCTCCACCGCCCCGTCCTTGACCCTCCCTGATTCCTTATGTGCGTCACATGTATTTCTCTTCCGAGGTTCTTATTGATTCCTCGTGTGTCAATATTAGTGAAGCGACGATTTGTGCGGCAGAACCGCGAGATTGCCCGTGTCAATTCAATACAGTCCCTTCGTATTCGCACTCTTGAATCCGATGTTTCCAATCTGCTCGCTGAGAACGTTTCCCTACGGGAGCAGGTCATAATGCTGAGTCAAGAGTTGGAGAGGTTTGAATCGGCCAAATCGCTCCACGATGGTGTCTATGATATCAAAACGAGATTAGACGACAAGTTAGCAGAGTTAAGCAATATCGTGAACGAATTGGGCACATTACCACGCAGGTTGGGGAAGTCCTGTGGTGACAGATTAGGCGCCGGAGGTCTCAGGCAACTCAAACTGTCGAGATCCGAATCCACATACAGGAAACCAGACCCTGAGATCAACTTGATGTCTAAAGAACAGGGAGGTCTGCCGGTAATTCTCGAAGACAAATGCTACCCGCGAGAAACCCTTGAGTAAGTATTGGTCGAAAATCTCGTTAAACATAGGTATTTTGTGCTTATCAACATCAGGTCGCAGGAGATACGACACCTGATCGATTCTGATCGTGAGATCTGTGCCGCTCCAGACCCGACGGAGGCACCATCGCCACTATCGACAACACAAGATCGAGAGGCTAGCCCACAGGCTTCTGAGAAAGATCTTGAAAACATCGAGCTACTTGGCGTTGATGAGAGGTTGGACGGCTCAGCGTTATTCTCGAATTTAATGACAAGGAAGACACAAGAGCCAGACCCTTCCACCTCGAACGATATTTCACCAACGTCGAGCAGGCCCTCAATCACTGAGCTGGACGAGACAATATCTCCAAGGAGGGCTGGGCACAAAAGGAAATTTAGCGCAGATCGTGAAGACGAATATCTCTCGACCAGTATAGGCGATGATGATTTCCAATACAGACGGCCGCGCCACTCTTCGCTCGGGAAAGACGAAGGACGTGTGTCTACCCGTAGGAGGAATTCACTACTGAAAGAGGACGCGCAGCCGAAGCGCGATTCTGGTACCCACAAAGCAACTCAACGCAAGGCTCTTGAACCAAGTATGTAAACTCCCTTACGGTTTAAAAGCAGCATGAACGGCTTGTTAACTGTGAATCACAGAGAATGGCAACCTTAGCATCACCTCCCCAGACGAACACCCTCCTGCAACAGTCCATGATGGCATGCACAAGAAATCGCAAAGACAGAAAGGGTCTCTCGATTTAGTAGAGCCCGGAGAAGAATCAATGTGCCAGCAACAGGGTAGCTTCGTTGGGAATTTCTCCCGCCAATGTTCGAATGAGAATGAGCGGAAAGAAACCATTGCTCACGATATAGTCGTACTTCCAAACAAGGAGGCACAGCAATCAGAACAATTGTCCCCTGCAAAAACTGTATCTATAGTTCAAAGTGGCTCTGGAACGACTTCATTATTAAGCGCCCCTCCGTCACGCCCGTCAAGACGTCAAAGATCTGTCGTGAGCTATGCGGAACCGAACCTGAGAGACAAAATGCGTCGACCCACAAACGAATTTGTTCCTGCTGTCGGGGGGGGGAAGCTGAGCAAGACATGGAACACAGCTGCACTCCCCGAGTCTGCAGATGAGGGAGACATGGGGTTACAGACCGATATCAGCCAAGCAAAAAAACCAAAGTGTTCGCCAGGGACGACGAGGGAACCCATATCAATATTGGGAAAGGCTTCAGGTCATTCATCACGTTCTCCTGTAAACATGATTTCTCTCAGAAGAAAGAAGAGCATCTTGGCAAAGACTGTCACCGCTGACGAAGAGGACCATGATACTCTACATCCCGAACTGTCATCGAGCGCTAGTGAGAAACCAAGCTACTCTGTTGAAAACAGCAAGCCCAGAGGATGGGAGGACCAGACTACGACCCGCATTTCAATTGCCGGGAGAAACAATGAGCTCGACTCACAATCCCCAGATGATACGGACTCGTCGCAAAGACATGTTACAGAAGAATCAGAGCCGACTCCTGGTAGACGCAAACACCCTCGACGCCACTCTTCACACCTTAAACCATCCACCCAGCATACCCGAGGCGAATCAGGGACGGATCTGCATTCGACTCGGAAGTTGTCGACATCGGGTGCTTGTTCTGAGGTATCGACGTCAACGACGCCGGCCGAGAACGCTGACAGCGATAGCGCAGTACTCGATGAAGAAACGAGATCAAATTCAAAAGCAATGGATGGAGGACGTTTGAAACGTGGGCATCGGGCGGTCGCACGAAGAAAAAGTATGATGCTATGAATCAGCTATTCCATGGGCCGGCACGAATCTTGACAATATAACATCTGATCGAACACTCATGATTTTGCGGCGATTGATCCTAGCTCAGTCTAAATCCACTGACAAGACTCTTATGGCAGACACCACAGGAATTCCATGTTCATAGTTCGTAATATTGCTCCATTTCTCTTCTGTCTTCTTTTTATTCGCTCTGTTTTCTTCCCATTGACGGTCAGGATATGAAACGGAGTCAATCCAGACAGAGGTCTGTACTTTGTATCCCACCTCCCGCTCCTCTGGCAGTTACTCGTCCGAGTCAATGGTTTCAAGTGTTATTGCATACCACGACGTCCAGCGGGATGACAAGCGATTTATATGCCGCGGTATTTGCAGATGAGGAATGAAGTTGATACATAGGCTACAGCCCCGAATTTCTGGGCTGGCCCTTTACTTTTGGCATTTTCTCGTATGCATTCGGACTTGGCTTCCTCTTCCCGTTTCTCCTGTGATGGCGTTTTGTGCAGGAGGGACTGCGTCCTCGATTCAATGACGGGTTTGAAGCAGATTGACTCGTATCTTTTGCATTTTGTTTGTTCTGTGCGTGGCCTTTCGAATGACGGCAATCTACATCGCTGTCACTTTCCGACTCGGAGGAACTCGATGTCGAATCATCGGACTCCGAACTGCTTTCCCCTACAGACCGAGGTTTATGGTAGATGCAACATACTGTATGGGTTAAAGACAGCCCGGCATTATCGTGATTAGCGTCCAATCTGAATCGCATGGAAGGCGATGCAAGTGATGGCGAATATAGACTTCTTGAAAATAAAGGGGAAAGAGTAGAAGAGAGGAAGAGACAAGAGAAAGTAAGTAGATCGTTGCTGACGGCTTTTGTAGCCTATTCCAAATTCGCGTACCTTTTGAGCTCTTTTTACCCATTCCCTCGTTGTCTACAACATCTTCAGTCCATCTTATATGTCGCCCTGGCGTTGCGTCCTCAATCTGGTCTGTGGCGATACTGTCATTCTCGGCTCTCAATCTCAGTGTGCCTGAAATACGGACAGAATTGTTTCCTTGTGGGCCTGCTGAGGATAACAACTGAATATGAGAGCTGGATGCTGTGTTTGAGGGTACTTGTCTAGTGCGTGACATTATTCATATATATCGTTCAAACCTCTTCTTTAAGTAGTGGGGTTGAGATGAGGGGTGTGCGATACTATATACCTCAGAGAGAGGTATATGAAAGTCTTCCGGGACTAGTCCCTCACCGCTTTTATCCTACTTCAACTGATTTACTATCGTACTCCTGCAGACATGTTCTCCCTTCCAGTACTAGAGGTATATAGTATTTATATTACTATGTAGCTACCTCTCTACATGGTTGATTCGATTCAGAGTACATCACAGTCGCGCTCAGAGCTACTACCGTGCTAGTGCCATACTAAGCACAATGGTTGCCGATCCAACAAAAGAGTGAGCTCAGGATCCAGAAAGGTTCAATTTTATGTTCAGGTTGCCGGAAACACCAGAAGCATCCCAATCGTCTGGGCCCCTCTCCAACTATCCTCATCGGGTTAGGTAGTGTAGATTGAAGGAGATATACCTGGTGTAGTCAAATCAGTAGAAGCATTACGGCCTCAACTGGCGAGTTGTTCTCACTAAAGCACAGTCCATAGATGAGCGTCAGGCAAGAAGAGCGAAATTACAAAGTGACACGTCAGTTTGCGGAGAGAGACCCAAAACCACGTCCATATCGGATGCGAGTAAAGGGTAGTCAAGATGGCAAAGGGAGTAAGCCCTGTTTGACACGTAGCACGCCGAAACATGCAGTAGAACGAGCAGTATTCAAAGCTTCAAAGCCCGTAAAGGGACCAACCGTTGAGGCCATCTTCCGGAGTCACCAACTCGTCTAAGTCTTTTGTAGCTCTATCTAATGAGCTCACTGGTAATTCAGTGCGGAGTTCCAAGTCGAGTCAGAGCTCATCCTCCTGATCCATTTCAGACGGCTTCAAAAGTCCACCAACTCTCATTGCCCGGTCTCGTTCTGCAGCCTGCGCATCCCGCAGAGCCTGCTCTCTCTCCTCTGCATAAAGCTCTGCATTATCACCTGCGAACTCTTTCAAAGAGATCAAGAAATCCCGCAAATGAGTCTTGAACTTGTTAAAGTCATCATTGAAGGTAAACAAGCCAACTACAAACTGCTTGATTTGTATCCTGCGACAAAATTAGCACCCTTTCAATCGAGACCGGGTTAGCAGCCAAACTTACTCCTGAAGATTCTTGAAAGCATTTTGCAAGAGGTTCGCAACGTATTCTTGCAAGAAGTCTTTGTTGGATGTCCCAAGTGGCGCTTGCTCGGGGGAATAGATGGGTTCTTGGACCTTTCCGGATTCAATGAAGTAGAACATACGGGACAGTAGCATTGCTTGAGATTTGAACCCTGCCAGAATGTTAGTGTGAGCTACTCTAATACCATGGATGTATACGAACCTGCTTTGTGATCGCTGTCGGTAAGGACAAAGAACACGTCTTGAAGAATTGGAATGAAAAACTGGCGAAAGAAAATACTCGACGTTTGCGTATCGGTCTCAGCCATATTGTTCATCAGTTCGAGGCACATTGTAAGGCCGGTATTTTCCACTTCACGATTGTCATGTTTACTGGCCCACATGCAAGAGTCGATCACAAACTTGAATTGCGTGGCATCAAGTTTGAGTAGCGCCGGGAAACAGTATAAATTGATCGCTTGGAGCAATTTAAAAAATTGCACACGGTGCTCTGGATACTCGTGGAAGTCTTTGTTGATCATCTCGAGGGTGCATTCGAACACACTCTCCATGATTAAAGGAACTTTGTCTTCCATAAGGCTCTAATGAGGTAAGTCAGATTCGATAACGTTTTCAAAAGCGATGCTTGCCCGGGAATGTTACATACATGTAATTTATGAACGATTGTGGTCATGACGTTCAGCACCTCTGCTTCCCGCGCGTCGGGAACATTTCGGTTATAGTCCACCAGAACAGCCTCCAGAAGTGGTGGGACCATATTAGCGTTGACCATCTCCAGATCATCAGCTTTCTGCACATAGGTATCGATCAGTTTAAGAATCTCCTTTTTGATGGTCCGAAGCCCTCGGACTTTCGGAGTCTTGGTGGCGATGTTGCCTGTTGGACATTAGACAATGAGGACGCAGGGGGGGTGAAAGGAAGACAGCAAGAAAGCGTATTTACCATCGTGCGCAACGGCATCGTTAATGAGTTGACTGGAAGCCCGATACATGTTCAGCATATCATGGTAGATGCGACCAATCTGGGAATAAAAGTAAGTGCCAATCGAGGAACATGCTGCGACATTCGTCTTCATAATGTTGCCGATGATCTTTATCGTTTCTCCATCTTGAAGTATGGACGGGTCTTGATTCGCCTGAGCAATAATAGCATCCCACGCAGAGTTGGGAAGAGACATCAGGTTCTCAATCAAACGATCCTGGAGGCTTTTCTGGCCTTGTGCTGAAATCATATAGCCGCACGCCTCGTAGAAAGTGTGAACTTGTTGTGGTGAAAGGTCACAGGTGATCTTTCTCATGTTTCGAACAATTTCCTCGATAAATGGCTCGTTCTCCCCAGGCTGAAGGGCGACAAAATGGCGCCTACACTTGTTTGCGATCTTGATAAATGTATCGCACGCCATATCTTGGACACCTGGTATTTGTCAGAAAAAAGGCACTGGAAATCCGCCGCGTAACTGACCTTCATGTGTTTCATGCATAAATTCAAACAATTTGTTGACAACCGTCTTCAGGAATTTCCAATGGGCCTTCAAGAAACGCGGATACTGCCCTACAATATACATAATGTTACTGGCGACGACTGCTTTGTTGTCTTTTCCTCGCTTCATTTCCGTGAGACCCAGAAGGTCCTTGATCACAGTGACAAGGAACCGCTTTTCAGTCTCCTCATTCATGGCCCCCGAGATTGACCCAATTGCCCAACATAGAGTATTGCAATTAGCCCATGACCACTCAGACCCGTCCACCTGTTTAGCCAACTTCTCGATCATGATATTTTCGGTGTCAACGACGTCAAGGTGTGTCAGATAGACCAAACACTCCCTTATTGTCTTGTAGAGCTGAATCGTGTCGCTTTCTTTGACGAATTCGCGAACAATTTCGCCCTCGTCGTTTTCAACAATCAAGACTTCTTCTGGCCTGACCATTTTCTCGATCATGACAGTGCGAAGGTTGGACAGGACCTCCTCGTACTTATGCTTGCGGAGGGGGTAATTGGCAAGGGTGCTAGGGTGCGGTGCCCCTCCGTTTGACAACCCACTGACTCCCATGCTAACCAAGGGATTGATATCTGTGATTGGAAGTTGTTGCATCTCCTCGTACAGCTCCTGCACTAGTCTCGTCCAGTACTCTAGACAAATTTTGAAGACCTCTCTGTCGTCGATCTGACTGATACGGATAAGGTAAAAATGAGCATGTGTGAGATAGTCCCGATTCGGTAACTTTTCAATGAGCTGAGCACAGTGGTCAGTATTCTTGTCAACATCCAATCTCAGGACTATTTTGCAATACTTACATTTAGATGAGCACTGAAAAAGCTGGAGAGGAACAGTGCTAAGTTGAGGACGAACTCCTGATCCCGTGAATTGCTTTTGGCATATGTTTGCTTTAAATCCATGGAGAGTGGGATGGTCTTCGAGACTATGGTCAATGTCTCAGTGAACATTTGAACCAATCTTTCATCGTAATTGTAAGGGTTGCCAATTTGCAGTCCCCCAATCTCTGTGAGACACTTTAATGTCACATTCCGGAAATCGGGAACGTCCAAGAAACGAGTTAATAGCGTGTTGATGATGGGAGTCTCAAATATGTATCCGAGAGGTATCCAATTCAGAAATCGAAGGAGAGTCTCTAATGTGGCTTTGATCAGGCTCGGCTGGTTTGCTGTATTCAAAACTTCGGAGCACAGCTGGAAGATAGATGAGAATTCCTGTGTCATGGAAGTCTTGAGATTTCTGGCCTTGATAGAAGTCATCTGATCCTGCGAGAAGTCAAATACTTCCTCTGATAACAAGCGAAGGATGGCCATATTGTTTTCGCAGATAGAGAGACTCGTATGGCAAGACGAGATTATTTCATTGATGAAAGTCGGCCAATTGTGGGGCCACTCTTGCTTGAGGATAGAAACGAGGACCAGGTTGAGCTTATTCAAAAACGCGCGTTCACTTCTGAGCTTTTCTTCTGACTTGGAGTTTTCGATAATGAAGTTGACGATGAAATTTCGTATGCCTGAGTGCTCTTAGTCTTGAGTTGACAAAAGGAACACGCGACTTCTACTGCTTACCAAGACACTGCTCTCTTGGTAAAACTTTCCATCTGGTCATAATCACATCGTCAAGAACCTGCAGCGCGAGGTCTACCATGGTCAGCATGAGATGTATCAAGTGAAGCACATACGAGGAGAACAAGCGAGACGTTGCCTTACACTTTGTTTGCAAATACGATGATTCTTGTAGTATATTACCCACAATCAACCAAGCATCCGGGTTTTGCTTGAACTGGTTGTCAAGGCGAGTCAGTTACCCTAAACTGCGTCTTGGAGTTCAGGTAATACTCACTTCTGTTAGAGTCTGCTGGGCTTGCTTTTGCTGAACGGAAAGTCGCATTGTGAAGTCAGCAATTCAAGCTCTAATCAAAATCGTACATATTGGCCGGAATCATTATGGTGCCTCACCAAATCCCCTTTGCCCTCGTAGAAGGCCCGGACAGTGTTGTCCAATTCTTGTATGGAAACAGACATCCTGTCTCAAGGACTGGCAACCCTGTCCGTTCTACAGCTTGACCTCTGACACGTGCTAGGCGCGTACTATGCACAGAGAAGCCTTGCTGGACACTTATGGGCGCTGGTTAGTACCGATTTTCGGGAGGTTGATCGGGTGAGTAAAAGGTTTGGCGGGGTTGAGGCTCTTTTGGAGGGGTTGGCTGGAGGGTAGGGAATTCGAAGAAGCTCTTGGTTGTAAAGAATGAGTTGACAGGGATCCCAGAGACAGACAAAGTTACAGCGGGGCTTGGTGCTTGATGTAATCGTAGTACTTGTAAAATGGAGTATAGATGAAAGCATATGAGTGTCAATTATTGGCGGTGAAGAGAGTACTATTGTTGCGGATGTCAGGTTGGTGTGATGTATCAACTATCAATTTTGCTTACTAATGGCCTTGCTAGTCGGTTACCTGATATGTATTCAAGGATCACTCATTATTATTATCGACGACTGTAGAGAGGTAGCTACCTAGCTTTTCTTCATCTATTTCCTGGTGACTCACCAGTAGAAGGCTCGATAATGGATTAACTACATTGGCAGTTATATATGGATTGAATATATATTATGAAAACACGTGACATTTATGTTTGAATAATGTTAGGTATCCTCGATATTTCATTCTCTGGCATATTGGGGTGGAATGCTAGTCTTATGTCAATGCCTATATATCCATATAATGTCCGAACATATCAATTTGTCTCAAGATAGCAATGACTGCCATTCCCGGAGACTAATTTCTCCTGGCCTCTATCCTGCTGTTGCAATACTTCTTGTGGTTTAAATGATCGGTACGCACTACAGTGGAATTGCCGCCAACAGCTGGGTTTCGCCCATTTGATGCAGCCAAATACCACAAAGGAGACGGTCAGGATCCTTGGTTTCTGATTATGGCTAATCTTTCTCAGGAAAGGTTGCCGCCAGACATACGACACCCAGACAGGATTTTGAAACTTCGCCAGCTCATATAGATTGCCTATGGGTATCTTATGGAAGGCATAAAGATAATGGTAATTATGATTATGGCAGTTAAGAATACTGAAATAGCCATGGCATAAATACCTGGTCAAAATTTCATATAAGGATAAAGTATAAACACTATAATGGAAGAAAACCGAATATTCTCTAGTTAGTTATGTAAGCATGCACACCCAGATTGCATAGATTAGAGGGGGCCTACCCATCTTTAGGTAGAGTAATATACAGTGGCACGTCAAATGTTTGAATCCAATGTATTTACCGCTAGCCTGATTAGGGATCCGGATAGAATCTCAACAACTAGCAGTCATAATAGTCCTATAAGCGATATTATGATGCTTTCTATGAAGCTTATAATGATCCTATCCAATACTATAGAGCCTAAATATGTATAATTGCATCTACAGTGATTGCTTTTAGTACAGCGCCGTGATATTGTTAATTTGGAGAGGGTATCTTAAGATATAAATTGCGGCAGTATAGCAAGGAATTTCCTAGTTAAGCTAGCGGTAATACCACTGGATTCAAACTTTTGACCTGCCACTGTACTCTGGAGTAGCTGTTATCCTATGATAATTACTATGGTGCATGTATAAACCACTTATATATGTCTCTTAAAAAAGGATCCCATAAATTGAATATACTCTATCTATACATAAAGATAACTCAGTAGATATGCTGCACAGATTACTACTTTTACTACACATAGTATGTAAATGTGCATAACATGACGCCCAATAAGCAGGAAAAGATAACCAGGAGGGTGTCTTGCCATCTGACAAGCCAAATAACCACATGCTACAAAACTCAATTTCTCCTACACATTACGCATAGACTCAGAGGCTTGGCATTTCTATATATATATGGCAACCCTGGTATTTGCCTTGACTTCATTTAATTGGCAGTCAAAGTAGCCCAGTTAGGCAGTATGAGCCAAGAAGGTATAAGCAGTCATGTAGAGGTTTTGTCACACAGTTCATGAAAGCAAATTAAGCACGTAGTTAGATGGAGTGGTCTGTCTACCCATCTCCATAATTGAGAGAAATGTACGGAGTTCTGGGGTGTCTTACAAGCATCTGATGCCTATACTAGCTCAATACCCATTCTGAATTTGTCCTATAGTTGTAATTCTTTGCCCCTACTCTGTGCGCCATACTACCATTTCATGCCAACAACATTATTATACTCTATTATAATACTCTGTGTGTAATCCAGTTAGATACATCCTTCCCAGTCCTTCATTCCCTCTTCTATTCCTCCTTCCCCATGCCTTTCATGAGTATCCTCAAGCTTCTCTATTTCAAATTCACTGAATTTTCAAGGCTACCTCTTCAGTGTGATGACTAGTGCCTAGGCATATCTGTCATCTATCTTATATATACAGATTACTGGTTTTGTCAGATCACCCATCTGTAGTCGTCCGATCCCAATGATTTATGATTGATCTGCGCCGTCTTCTGTCTAAGGTGGTGCACCGTATTGGTCTCCAGGCTACTCTATACTACTATTATTTATCCTATTTGACCCCTCATTGAGCATCATTCTGCCCTCGCTACTGCGCATTCTAGCTCTCACCCTAGGGCATACTTATTTTCCTCGCCCATTCGAATATTGATACTTTGATTTCCACGCGGGCCGTTGTCCTCTTCCGAATGCCTGACCAATAACACTCTCTACCTCCGTATATTGGCCATCATTAATTGCGCGCTGTTGTCGAAAGAACCAAGCAATTTCAACCTTCTTTCTTCCTCAATTACCGCCCTCCCCAACAACTCCTCCAATCGTTTCATGTCTTGTACCTTGTTTAACTTATTATGCTTATTCAACTAGTAATTTGATTACCGCATGTCAGTGCAGCGACAACGTTCACAACGTCTATTTGGAATCGACTTGGCGCTGAGCGACATCCCAGTGAACTTCAGCTGTTTGCCTTCCCACCCTTCTTGTGATTTCGGGCTGCTATCCTCACTGGTCGAAGCGAAATAAATATAAGGCAACAGGAATAGATCTCCAGGTTCAGATCCGATCTGTCAAAATATCATAGTTCTACAAGGCAGACTGAAAGGATTCGCGGAGCGAGAGTGCGCGTCATCTTGATACTATAGCTCCGCCTGTCTTTCGAGAATGAGCACAATGGCGTCCACTTCAGTGACGAATGGTCACGAACCCGAGAAGAGGTCCAAGTTGGAGAACCAAAGTCCTCCTCGGTTTACTGCGGTGAATGGAAGGGAACTCACAGCGACAATGTCCGTTGGCCCTACTGCCGCCGACTCATCTAGCAACGAAGAGATATCGATTAATCAAGGCAGAGTCGAACTCGACGCCCCATTTCGAGCGGAAGAGCGTGCAAGAGATAATGGAAACGCTGAAAATGACCCGGACGAACGATCGATGCAGCGTTCCACTTCCCATAGTGGCTCATTGTCAGGAGGACAAAGTGCAAACAAGAGGAAGAGATCAGAAATTGATGAGCGTCAAGAACTTCCCTCATCATCTTCTAAAGGCTCTCGAAGTCCGGCCATACGGTCAGATGCCGCTGTGGAGTTTCACACCCAACCGCTTGCTCTCAACATCGCTGTGTCGCCTCCTGGCCCTCACGATCCCAAGCATTCATCACCATCAATTGCTCAATCAGACAGAAATGAAGATTCACGATCCGCCTCAGCAAATGCCTCATTGAATGACTATGATTCACATCTGGTGCAACAGGCACAGCGCGCACAACAAATTGACCCCTCAGATGCTCAGTTGGCAGAGGTACTCCAGCGCGAGTCCCAGGATCATGATGGACAAGGCTTACAGCAGAAGAGCTGGAGTGCGACGAATCGCTCGACAGAGGGACCCGCGCAAACCAAAGAGCCTTTACATACGTTTTCACAAGAACAGCCACAAGCGGCTATACAAGTCGCCCCTAAGCGAAAGCGCGTATTCAGCAACCGAACTAAAACTGGCTGCATGACTTGTCGCAGAAGGAAAAAAAAATGCGACGAGCAGCATCCTGCGTGTAAGTTATTCTTCGCGCCTCTTATCATGGAATACGGAGTTTCTTCGTTCTTTTAGCCATGGTCGCTCAACATTTTTCCATAGGCAACAATTGTCTCAGAGGTGGTTTCCTCTGTGAAGGTTATTCGTCCCGAAGCACGTGGCAGAAACCCTCCAGCGCGAAAACTCCAGTTCCGTTGCAATCCAAAGAGGGCTACCCAGATTTAGGGGCGCAGTACGTTCATGACTTGAGCCAACAGCATGAGCGACCGCAAACTCTGGCGGAACAACTTGACGCGGGAAAAATGAGGGCAATCGTCACCGATGAGAACGATCGTGTCGCTGGGCAGTTCAATGCTAGCCCGACAGGAGCAAATTCGGCTCGTGGGCCATGGTCTAAACGGAGTTGGCCTAATGCCGGCCATACTACGTTTATACCTGATCATGTGACCAAGTCTGACTATCGAGAGGTCCCATCGATACATGAACTATCGCGCGATGGACATACGAAAGGCGACTATCAGATTGTTCCGTCGATTAGAGACATACCACACGGATCACATCAAAAGCCGGGGATGTCCATCTTTCAAGGTGGTATTGATCAGCGGCCGGCACATACCGGCACTGTGGACACGAACAGCCCGCAGGCACAGGCTCGGATGGCCCTTAGTATTGAGCATCAGCTGTCCAATCGCACTGTGAGTGAAGAATCGGAAAAGGACAAGATGATTCGCGGCGAGCTCTATCGCCCTTTCGATATTCATCTTGTGGAGGAGCGCGAGCGATGCAAAGCCGCCATCTGGCGGTTCAACAATGCTTGTAACCCTGTCTCGGGCTTGAGTGCGAAGGAACAGAATCGCCTGCTGAAGGAGGTTCTGATTCCCCCTGGTTCGGTTGTTGGTTCTCCATCGAGCGTGGGACCACTGAGACCCGCCGGATCTATTGGGCAAGGCGCCGTTGTTGAGTCACCTTTTCAATGCCACTATGGGTTCAACATTCACATTGGTGAGGACGTTATGATA